GAATCACCTCCTTGGGAGCAAGCAGCTCACTGCACACAGCATGTAATGTTGCTGGGGAGGGCAAGGGGAGAATGTGACTAGTTCTGGGAGAAGCTGGCATGCAATCATCACACTATGGCCCTAGATGCATTTAAACAATAGCAATAACTATTTCTCTAGAAACCTCAGCATATTTGTTTTTAAGAGCAACACCAGATTGGTGGAAAGCAACAAAATCCACCTCAGCTGTTGGAAGACAACAACCAAGATTGTTAAATGCCAACAATATCCCAGTGCAACAAGGAGGACATCCCTAAAACCTCAAGTGTCTCTACCAAGCTCGAGTGGTGAGGCAGCCCATGACCTGAAGTGCAGCAGCTGTSCTGGTTGTTGAGTGCAGGCAAAACCATGCTTTTCTTTCTTTGTCTGTTTCCAGAGCAGAAAAAGAAGAGATGAGTCTTTTTATTTTCCATTTTCCTGAGTGGAGGAGCAGTGACTCTACTGAGAGGTTTACAAGGGTTAGGGTTCATGCCCTTGGGCCTTGTTTTGGGTGGTATGCAAATAGAAGCATTCATTCCCTACCACAAGAAGAAAATAAAGGGGGGGGTGGGGGGGGTGGGGGGATGGAAGGAGGCTGTAGCCTGGGGGATTTATCCCTTTACTTAGATGTTCATGTCATCTGTTGTTTAATCATTGCTTAACCTTGCAAGGTCCTCACAAGGTGTAGGTTCAACACCAGGAGCTGCTGGTGCTCAGGGGTAGGTGGCTTCACTGGCCCAAGCTGTCTGACAGCCATAGTCTGGTGCATTCCCAGTAGCTGTGGAGAGATGCAGTTTCAGTACAAAGGTAGCTGTTGAATCCTCCAAAGAACAAACAAAATTGAGTTGTTCTCAGTACAGTTTTTAAAATTCAATTTTGTTTCCATTGAGTATGAGGTGCCTGAAGAAAGGGGTATCTTGATAGTTGCTGCTCAAAGCTAGTTACTAATTTTTCATATATATGTATATAACCACATACATGTATAATTATGTGCATTTAGTTTTTATATTCTACAAAAGCTTATTTATTAGAACATATTCTGTGTCATATAGCTAACCTCAGGACTCCAGGTTTGTTGGGTGTTTCTTCCCCATTTTCTAATTGACTGAGTATCCAAGACCCAGCTACTGGCTTTCCTGATGAATCCATTAGGAAACCTTGCAGGAGCAGTAGCAGAAAAGAATGACTGGGAAACTTTATATAACAGTAAATATTTTTCATTATTCCCCCTCTCTTTTTTTTTTTTTTTTTGGCACTAAACTGACATTCCCTGAAACACCCTTCTTAAAGAAATATAACCACAGCAAGATTTACCGTCTTCAGCATTGTGTTTTATACTTTTCCCATTCACAGAATACTTATATGTCTGGACATGAAACTTAGTTTGCAACTTGTGTTTTGATTCTTGTCTGGTTAATTTAAACTGCTTCTTTGCTGTTCAAGCAGAGAAGCAGGAAGAATGATGTTCCAGCTCTGTTAACATATTCTAAATTCCCAGATGTAAAATTCAATTGTGTGAGTGCTGGTGAAAAACAAGCACTAAGAGGAGGTGCAAAGAGCAGCAAAGTAAATTAATTTTTTTAATTGGGAGCACAGTAAACACAATCCTCAGAAAGTGCAGCATAAGAACTTTATATTAGGAGCTCATTCATGGAGTACCTTGATCTCAGCGAGCTGACATTTGGCTGACGAAGCTCCAGGGGAAGCTGGTGGATGGTAAGTGAGACATTTGGTGCAATTAGCTGTGGTATCAACCCAGCAATGAAAGTAAACAGGCAAAACGTGGGGACRAGAGGATTTTTCACAATCAAGGCCTAAACTGCTTGTGGCTGCAAGAATTCCCTTCTTTTTGTACGTTCTTTGGCAATTCCCCCTTTAAGTAGCTGGTTTGTCTGCTTCTAGATCCTGGATAACTGCAACTTGGTTTGGCTTCTTCCTGTCTCCTCTCACCCATCCCAGTATGTGCTGTGATAGTGCACTGTACTCAGMCCACATCTACCACAAAGGGCTGCAGGATTAAAAATTAAACTAATACACATTTAGGAGATCTGGATCRGCAGGGTCAGTCTAAATTCTGAACAGACTGAAATGACTTCAGGGCTGTCAGCTGCTTTTATGTCCTTGAGTATTATTGAATATTATACTGGGCAGAGAAATGGTCTCTAGGAAAAAAATCTGCTATTTCATGAGGTGACTGCCTAGTCATGTGTCTTCACAGTAACTCTCATGGGAAGACAGGATCTTTCCTTGTAATTTTGCTCATGGGTATCTTGCAGAATTTCCATATCCTTAAGCCTTACCTTTCTAAGGCAAAATAGCAAAATTTCAAGTTTGTTTAGTCCCCAAAAACTTGTAGCAATTACAGAAATACACAATGACAAGCATATGAGAAGCTAAATGCTGTATATGAGCTTGTGTGACAACCTTTGGGTCTTCAGACAGCTCGTAATTTGCCAAGAAGTAGTTTTCCTGGAGAATAACCGAGCCAAAGAACTTGGGGTAACATTGGCTCAAAAAGTTGAGCCCCCTAAAACCAATTTTAAAACCATTGAAGTTTCTCTGTCAAATAGGAGAATTGAAATATTAACAGGCATGTGAGTTTTAATTTTGAGGCAATGAGCAATTTTAGGGTAATGAAAAAACCATTTCCCCTTCTATGARTCTTTGCCTTTGGCTACCAGCATTCCTGCATTACTAGTGATGCTGTCAGCATCTGCAGGAAGCAAGTGGCTGGGAGGAGGTGGATGACCAAGGACTCAGTGGCACATCTCAATCAGCAGTTAATTACACCAAAATGTTTTAAATCCGAGAGGGGCACAGTAAGGAGAGGAAAGGAAGGAAAAATACCACCCCATAGCATAAATGAACTGGGAAGGTGCTCTGTTAGAGTTCAGTCTATTGGGAAAGTCCTTGAACTACCACAGACAAGTGGAACACCCAACCAAGAGACTTGTAAATCCAGGGATGACTGAGAAACTCATGGAAAACACCACACCATTACAGCTGGTTGTAGYGCCATCTTGACAAAGGGACTATGAGGGATTTATTTCTGTTGCTTATGGGAATAAATACTTACGGTCAAGATGAGGGACATGTTGACCCTTTGGAGTCTGAGAAATTATGCACAAAACCATGTAAGAATAATGTAGTTCTAGTATTAGGTAGCCTTGAATTCATGAAGTTTCAGAGATCTATCTACGCATCTAAGAAATCAGTCTTAAATTAGGTACAGTAAAGATCTAATTAYTTTTTCTGCTGCAGCTACCTCCCTCTCCCCTTAACATTTTGTGGCAGAGCACTGTGGATCATTGCTACAGCTTCAAACTTATGATTAATTGTTCTTAAATTATTCAGAGTCTCTAAATAATGTATCTTTATCTACCTGTAGACACATTTTGTCTACCTTCATCGATTTTTTCAACAATCTTGCCCTCAAAGTGCAATTTCCCCTGAAATAATTTTAGTCCTTAAAAAGTTATGGTATCCTTTGTTTTGCAAAGTGGAGGATTTTTTAAAAAAACCTTCATCCTTCCTCCTAACAAGAACAGGATGTGCAAAAACTTTGATTTATATAAGCCTTCCTGGAAAGCATGAGAGAAACTCTGGAATCCGTAAAAGCCACTGTGTAAAAGCATAAAGAAGTCAACTTTCTGTGAAAAGTACATTGCTCTACCAGGATACATTAAGAAGACAAAATTTCAGGCCCTCAGTTTTACAGAAACTGTACAAAATACAATAAATTACTGGGATTGTTCCCTTATGTCACTTTAGTTAACTGAATCCATTCAGCAGGATACACGGATGGATTATTTGACAAACCACTGACTTATTGCCTACATGAATTACAGAAACTGATGTCCAAATTTTAGGAGTTGTATTGATTATCTACAAAATTTTAAAATAACAAGCCTTACTTGACCTACGAGCTTACAGAATTTAGCATATAGGAAGTGCAGAAGCAAGAGGATGATGTGGAGCAAGGTCCTTTAGGTTCAGTTGGTGTGCAACAGTTCGTTTTCACTGCATGCTACCAACACTGATTATTCATCTGACACCAGCAAGCCAGGCAAAGCTGTGCTGAAGTTTTATTTGCACAGSAATTTTAAACCTGACACTGAGGTCAGGCTGCAGTAATAAACTGTAGGACTTCAGGGGAGAGTAGTGAAACGAGTGAAAGTAACACACTGCCTCTCTCTGTGCTCTATGGTGCTCAGTGGAGACAACAGATATGAGGCAGTTTAAAAACTGGAGTAGCACTAGAACAGATGTTTTCACTGCTCTCTTACTAAGCATGAGGTGAAATAGAAAGCAGGAGAACCACTTGTGCTACACTGCAATATTTCAAAATATAATGAGTAGATACATGCCCAGCTCTCATTCTCTTGCTGGCAAGCCAGGTTGGCACAGTCTGTGGCTGTGCTGGTACAGTGCAAGGCCTGTGTAAGTTCTTGCCTTCAGTACCTGCAAAAGCACCTTTGGTTACTAAATAACCTCGAGAGCTTGCTTCAGTGAAATCTATGAATTCACCCTTACCTGAACATAAACTCAGTGCAGAATTTAAGACACTGATTCCTAAGGAACTGAGGATGAGGGAAAACTTAACTCCAACTATGTTGTCATTTCCAAAGTGACACTCAATGCCTCAGAGAGCTGATATTTGATCACTTTGCATAGCTCCTCATTGAGTCAGAACGTGGCAACTGGCAGTCTGAGCAATGAATCATGATCTGATGGCAGCACAAAGCTCTCACAGCTATCCTTCAGGTGAACTCTTCCACATCAACCCATACACTAATGCACCTCATAGGAATTTACTTCATTAATGCAAGAATGAGACCTTTTGTCAGTGAATCATCAGTTCCCTTGTAAAGCAGAGTGTGCTATTTGTCCATATTGCACAATTTGTAATAYATATAAAGAGACTTGGGGAATCTTCATGACAAAGGCAGTATAATAAAGATGATAGATCTAGATGGATATATACAATATATAATTTAAAATTTTATTTTAAAACTTTGCACATACACTTCTTCAGTATCCTCCTCTTTTGCTCATTGCACTGAAAAGTTTCAAAAAACACAAAATATATCCCTTTACTAAACATTTTTTGTTCTTAGGTTACAAAAAGATTAACATTTCACAGTCACAAAGCAGAAGTACATTGGTCCAAAACACCTTCCTCCAGCAGGTCCTCCTTTCTTCAGGACATATAAACCCCAGACAGTTGTACAGATCTCAAATTAAGATATTAAGATGAAGTGCCCATTGAAGGGAAGAAAAATGTGGCAGGTATTAAAAAAATCAAAATAAGATACCTATGAAAGAACACATACAGCAATGGATTAAAAAAACACCCGGAATGAGCATGGAAGTGGAGCAAGGCATCCTCCTTCAAGTATATCATCACAGGTAGAAATACAGCAGCACAGTTAGAGCATCATTTGGTCACTCTATGGTAGCCATATTATTGAGTCTTCATCTAAAACACCATGAGAAAAACAATTTACACATAAAATGTTGGGAACAACAACAATTCCATACAGTTTGCTTGATAGAAAAATGCTGAAAGTATTTGTACATAAAATGTAAAATAAAAGGGAAACACCAAGGCTGGAAGAAACACAGCAGAGTTGCTCAAAGCATGTAGTGTTCTTTAAAAACCTAGGAGAAGTTCAGAGCCAAAATCTACCCAAACATCAAGAACATTCTTCAGACACATCCTGAAGGGACAGAGTTGACAGTACCTCACAAACTTCYCTTGTCATATTTTAACATGGAAATATCTGTAAATGGAAATCTACAGCTTAAAGCAGATTCCGACCACTTTGTTCTTTAGCCTTTTAGCTCTGTTGTTTTTAGTATTAAAAAAATTTTCCAGTGTGAGGACACTAAATAGCAGCCCTCTCACACAATACACTTGTATTTATGAAGGAAGGATTATTGTCTTAATGCACCAAAAGATGGTTGAGTGCCTTACATAACCAGGTGCAAATTAAATCTCTAATCAACTTCTTCATCAAATTAAACAAAGAAAATTTTAGGCTGTAGTGCAAGAGAAAAATGTCTGACATGACTGTTCTACTTTCAGCAACARTATTTCTAGGAGAATGGTAGAAGTTTCATGGTTCTGAGTTTCTAGAACGAGGCACCAGAAGACAGTGTTACTGCAGCTAACTGGAACTCCATTACTAGTGCCTTACCTTGCCATTACCCAAGGAAGGACAAGAATTTTCCCAACTTTCTAAGCAGTGCATATGCACAGGCAAGGCAAAGCACTGTGCAATAGCAGTGCAATAGCAATATAAATTCAGATGTAACTCAGGACTGAGGCTGCTTGCTGCTGAGGCTGAAACAMGTTTGGATACTAAGGGAACTTGACTAGCAAAACCCAGAGCACAGCCAGCATCAGGCAGTAACTAAGATGACATGCCAAGGATCTAAAATTTGGACTTGGTGCCTAACTTGCTTCAGTTTGAGGACACAAGCTGTCTGCTGCTAACTTGGGAGCTTCACTGAGCCTTAAAGCAGCTGCAAGTCTGAACACAGCAATATTCATCCTGCACCTATCCAAAAAATGGCATTGTGCACCATGGATCCTCCCTGCCATTAGTGTTTTCTAATTTTATGACTCACAAAGTAATTCAGCCTTTAAAGGAAATTGGAAGTGCTTTTAATTATTCTTGCTTTTCACAGAACACGTCCCCAATAAGTGACTCCCGCCTGCAATTGCTGTGAGCCTTAGGTGCGTACATTTATTTATACCATGCCTTGAAGCAGACCATGACCCCAGCTTAGGGATGCAAAGCAGATAAAAGTGAAAGCCCAAGTCCGAATGCATGGATCAGAGATGTGCCAGACACTCCAGGGAGACAAGCTCCTAAATGTGTAACAGATACTCTGCAAAAAAGCAAAACAAAAATCATCACAGCATGGTTTCAGTCACATACATCTGAGTAAAAAACCTTTTATGAAAGTTCTCAGAATTTGTTAATTGACATTAGTTGTTGATACTGTATTTCTGCCCTTTCTGGGACAGAAGCTGACAGTGAATGTAATTCAACCTGGGCCCAGTAACTGCAGAGAAGCTGCTGACCACTGGCAATGCCTCAGATGAACAGCAAGCACTGTGCAGGCCGATTCACCAGCCCAAAGATCATGTTCTGAGAAGTCACCTGCCATTTTACTCCCACCAAATCACACATTCTAACCTATCTCTTCAGGAGTGCATTTAAAAACACCCCTAAATGAGAAGGTGCCTTTTCCATTACCTTGAAGTTTTCAAATTTTGGCAAATTGTGCACTGGAAATCCATTTCCACCACATCGCACTCAGTGGTTTTATAGCAACTGGTATGTGTGTTGACACCATGTTACCAAATAACAAAGACAGTGCATGAGCACTGAAATATTTGATTTGGCCTTGTAGTTGGTACCAGCAAGCACCAGCATCTTTGCTGTTCAGATGATTTCACCAGATTTGCCWGCACTAATTTCTTTGTGAAAGAGGATCTGAATTGCTAGAGGACTACACAGTGCATTTGCGAAGAGACAACAGGAGTTACACAGAGCATGAAAAGCATGTTTACAAGTTTATTAGGCCAAAAGAAAAGTGCAAGGAAAGATCTCTTGCTTAAACTTTAAAACATATGAGGGGCCATATGAAAAATATTCTAGACTCCAAGCCTCTCTTTTCACCCAGATGCACATAGAAAAAGTAAAGAGAAGAAAAAAAAAAGGAAAGATAAAGCATGAAAACACATAATCAGATATGCCATTGATTTATACTGAAGTTCTAGAATAGAAAACATCCAYGTTCTATACAGCTTTATCACATGAGGCACTGGGGAACTCATGGAACAGTTTTCAGGCCAAAATCATGCAGCTTGCTGCAATGTTTGAACTGTTCCAGTCTCCACATAGCCTGCTTTCATCTTGAAACTCTTCTGGGTCTAGACATTTGAAGCAAGAGTAGTTTCAGTCCACCAAACTGTACTTCTGGATGCAGTCTAATACAGCATCTGGGCAGCTGCACCCCACTTGGGCTGCATCGTGTTTGCACAGCACATCATAAATTACAGGACTGGCAAGCTCTAGGCCACGCCTCTTCAGGAGAAAGTCTACAAAGGGCACAGCATCTCTCTTGGACAGGACACAACATTTGTGAGCTCCCTAGTCAGTGCCCTACAATTATATCCCTGTCTTTTTTCCTGTCAAAGAAGTACAAACCAGATGAACAGCTCCACACCATTGTGGGCTAGGTGCAAATCAGGTGGAAGTTGGCTCCCCAGCCAATATACCTGCTTGTATGCTAGAACTTTCTGATTTTGTTTTCTCTTAAATTCCTGCCAATGAAGTAAGGGAGCTGCAGGCTCAGTCCTGTGTGGACTAGGCAACCAGGTTACACTGCAAACTTTCTCACTTGTTTCTCTCCTGAATTACTGTTTTCAATAACATTTTACAYGAATTTTCTTTATTTAAATTGATTTATCACTGCTAAGAAAAGAGCTGCTGAAGCAAGCCAAGGGCTTGTATCTATCACAGTCATCTTGTGATCCTTGACTACAGTTCTCAATGCCAAGAGGACAGAAAGTTATAAGCTGTCCCTTTCTGATCACCAAAGTCAAGCAGGTGAGGGTAAACTGAATAATAAGTGAGGCAGGAAGAAGTGAAACACCTTTGAAATAGGTAATGTGTGGGTATCCAAATTGCAAATGAGAACAATACCACTACTTCAAGTAGAAGTCCAACTGAAAATACACTCAGGGGCCCAAAAAAATTTACTAAATCTCTACTGATGCAAAAAATTTATGGTCAGGGATCCTTTCAACAGGATAAAGCAGGCAGAACCATTCAATGAATGTAAATCTCTGATCCCAAAGAAACCACAGCCTCCAGGTAAACATCACATAAAGCTGAGTTTGCATGCTCTGTATAATCATGGTATACACACAACAAGGAATCTTGACAAATAACTCCTCACACCAGAATAAATTCTGCCATACCGGACTGTGACCTATTTCTCCTGGGCAATTTTTAGGTGACTCTTTTAGCTGCAGTAAACAGGCATAGTCACACTGAAACCAATTTCAGTTTTCCTACTAAAATACAGGAGGTATAGTCTACTGAAGAAGAGACAGGGAGGAAAATGGGGGCTCAAAGGATTACACAAGTTTGAAATTGTCCATAGATGTCATGAATACAATTTTTTTAAAGAAGAAACCTCTTGAGTCTCATATATGTATACATATATATATATATTCTTAAATGAGATGTGACCCAAGCCCCCTTCGGAATATTTGGGGATAGATTTCAGGAGCCACCTTGGCTTCTGATGCCCATTTCTACTTTCACAACTGAAATGGCTTTTCTAAGCTACATGGTAAACTGAGAAAAAAATTAATTGCCCACCCCACCTAAAGGGATGACAGAATCCATAATATGCTAGCAGCATTTAAATCCCATTCCTGTTAAGCACCAAAACCATTTCTGTAGGGAAATTGGAATCTTAAGGGTTATCTTTAATCATATACAGTATATGTGCAGAGCCCTACCTTTTGGGCAGAAAAATACCCCTCCAGCATTAGTTTTGACTACATAACATTAATTGGAAGTGTCCTGGTCGGACCACCAAAAACATATTGTCTCTTACAGGCCATTCCCAAAAAGATGCCCATCCTATAACCACTCTTGATGCTCCTTTCATGACTGTTTGTTCCCGTGTATCAAAGGGATGACGTAGACAGAGATGTCGTCTCCAGAGCCCAGCCTGTCATTGGATATCCGCCAGCCCCGGTCCTTCAGCACTCCCCTGGCTCGCATCACCAGGTCCTGCGCTGCCARCGTGTACCTGTGGAAAAGGCACAATACAGCCAGGGAGGGTTGTCTCCATGAGGAAAGTGGTTTTTCACAGCTTGCTGCCTGCCAGATTTAATGTAGCGACCTATCAAGACATGCTTCCCACTGTTTTAAAAGCAGGCAGGAGAAACACAAACCATGACATACCCACAAAGCAAGTGGGTCATCAAGTTCAGTGACAGTTCCTGAATAAGGATGTAAAGGTATTTCACAGGCACCGCTTGATCAAAAGTCATTGGCCATTCTGAGTGCCTGGCTTTATCAGTCTTCAGAAAAATATTAAACATACTTGCCATAATAATTAACTTTCTAGGAGTAGTCTGAAAAATTGAGGACCCCAAATAACACTAATTGTTGAAAACTTCACATTTGTTCACTGATACACCTGAAGGTAAACATGGCTCAACTATTTCAGAAATGAACTGCAACAAAAAAATGTAATTTAAAAGCAAGTAATAGAGCATAAAAATAAAATTCAAATTTCAGTTTAAGTCWAGTAGACTAACTTGTCTGTTTTTCTTGACCATAAGAATTAGTTTAATATCTCTTTTATTCTGAAACTGGATAAGGAAACTTACAATTAATGTAACAGAGTCCCACAGTTYTTTCACATTTATGAGTTCAGTGAAAACTGCATGAACGTGAGTGGTCAAGTGCTTAATTTAGTGAAATACCAAGTTTCATGTTACTTCTAAACTCCCAGCCTGCGCTGGGCTGAGTGACATTGGATTTATGGGAGATACTTTTCTGTCCTGAAAAAATACCACACGCTGCTTGGGGGCAGAAGCCTGTCAGAGTCCAAAAGGAGCATAGACAGTGTTCTGTCACGTTCTCGCTTACTGCTTTACCTGCTATTACTACATCAACACATCTGTGTACTCACTTAGAAGTTTCTTCTGAAAGAAATCTCATTATGGGTGAACAGCTACTGTTGCGTGTTTGACTTCATCAGCCCAATGGCCAAGATGTTTGGTTGGCTGGAGGCAAGCTTTTCTGTGATTTGATAATTAGAAAATAACTGAATAGTTAAAAGTTTTTGCCAAGGAAAAAACCCACCAGTCTGCATGTGTTTTATTAAAAGCGTAAGGATCAGCTTCCAGGATGATGCAGGGCTCCATGAAGCCCCACTCACAGGCCTCCAGAACTAACACACACCTCTGTAGTTTCCAAARCCAGAAAGGACAAGAAGGGTTTGCACCTCAATACCCCCCTTTGCAAGGGAGGATCCTTGATCAGAAATGATCTGCCCAGATCTCATCTCATGAGAAAGAACAGTATCTCTGTTGATCAGAAGCACTGTGTGTGTCTAAGTTAATCAGTTACCCAGGACTGTTCTAACCATAGAACTTTTCACCAGAAAATTCATTATTAAGTTGTAATATCTATCAGTAGAGACTTTATTCTGTTTCTGGGGATAAAGAAGAAAAAAACCCCAATTATGTTCTGTGTCCAGAATTTTGATGCCTTAAACTCAGAGGACTCCTTTGGACCAAGACTAGATATATTTGCTCTACTAGAATGATTTCTTCAATGCAAATGAACCAACACTTGACTACTCAAAAGGTTTGATGCCAAATTCAAGTAATGTTGTACTGCTGCAAGGCACCCACTGTTCCTAATGGTATTAGTGATAAAATTTYCAGGCCTCACTAGTTTTGACAAATGATTCACTTTTAGCAGTAACAGAAGGGTCCAAAGACATGAAATCTAACACACATGGCTTGCACACATACGTGCACTGACTGCATGTTCTGAGATCAGTCTGTGCCTCAACCTCAAGCTAGAACACCTGCAGCAGTGCCCTTACTGTCCTAATGCAACATGAAATTGTGTTTTCTAGGGGGAAAAACCTCCAAACATATATACTTGCACTCCTTAGTTCCCAAATCAGACTCAGGACTAAGGAGCAAAAGGATTCCACGTGGCAAGYAAGAAACTGAAATATTTATTCACAGCATGTCTGATGCTGAGTGAATTTTGGCAAGAACGTATTTCCCAAGGATTTCTCAGCTATTGTCAGAATTTAAAAAAGAAACACCCATCATTCTGCAAGAAAACTTTGTCTTCCTGCTTTTTTTAATTAACAAGTACTCCCCACATCTAAAGAGTACAAAGGAATGAGTACTGCTTTGGATTTGTATTTGGCTTTTGCTGCTGAATGTTTGGAGAGGGCAAGATAAAAAAAAAAGAAAAAGGTATTTATAAGAAATTCTCTTGTAGACAGACCATAAAATACTCAAGAAAACCAGCACAAAGAAGCAGAGGAAAAGGAACAGGTGAAGGCAGCAGAGAAGCAACATATTCTTCTCCYGTGTAGAGCTGAATTGAAGCAATGCTGTTCAACTTGGCACTAGAAGAGATAGGGCGAGTCTCTTGTACCTGGAGATGAATAGCAGCAGCAGTCCATTACCAAATGTTTTATTCTCCAGCACTATGAAATTGGGATGCAGCTGTTGAGACAGCATTAGAGAACTGCTGAAGTAGTTTTAAAGTATCTGCTTCCTCCTAATGAATAGCCTCGCTGGAATACAACTTTTGTGTTGTAAGAATACATATATGGAGGATTTTTCTTATGCTGAAACTTTYTGTATTGATCAGTGAAAGTACTGCAGGAGAAATGGTGACAGTGGGAGAATCGTGCTGCTGTCTGAGCAGCTTCTTATGTCCTCACACTCAGTAGAGGTGGAGGAGCTCCTCAGCATCCTCATAAATCTCTAGTGAGTGCAAGAGGGAAAGTGAGGGGACAAAAAGGGACAAAAGGAAGGATGAGAAATAAAAGATTCCCAAAGTCAGGGAGTAAATATGCATAAATGCAGCTGAAGGAAGTTGGCAAAGAGTCATAGTTCTCCATCTTCGTCCCTCTTCAGAGAGCTGATGTATCGACAACAGCAGTGGTGCTGTCACCTGTAATGCTGATCAGAGTCCYTGTAATGCTGATCTGCCACAATAACCATAAGAAATGAGCTGCTAAGAAATCCAGTTCCATCCCAGTCCTCACACAAGAACTGTTCTCTAAACAAGCCTACGTCCAAATGCCCTGAGGCTGTGTCTTCATGGCTGGATGAAGAGAAACCTGAGGACTTTGCTCTCCCTGCACTTGCAGACGTCCAGGCACATGCTGTGTTTGACAAAATTCAGACAGGTTTTTTATGTGGGCAACAAACACTCACAGTAAATAAAAGGAGAGAGTCCCAAGAGTATTGCTGAGGGCTGTAAGCTCTTACCCATCAGGCTATAAAGACTTCTAATTCAAATGAGATGGATATTGTTCCCACAAGAAGCTAATTATGCAACAGATAAGTACTCTGCAGCTCTAAAATCCTCTCTAGATCTTTTTTTTTCCTTCCCTTTTCTTTTTTAATATGCTGCTGTCAGTGAATAAGTAGGCTATTGGGTCAGGTGGATCCAGGGTCTGCTCCATGGTTTGATTCTCCTGAAGACCACAGCATTACCAAACCCAGGGTGCAAGTCTCTTACATTCTGTCAAGTTTTCTATATCTCTAGAGATACTACATTTTTGGCTGATCACCTCACCACAGATTATGTCACTACACTCGTCACAGAACCTAACATTTTCTGGGACAACATTTCCTTTAAAAGTAACACTTCAAATACAGCAAAGGAGATTTTCCTGTCACTGACTAGTGAGAGGAATGAACGCTGCTCCACAGCCTGAGCTGGAATGCTACTATAAATTCATCAGTTATACCTCATTTAAACCTTTGTGAAATAATTAGGGAAAACCTCTTGCACAGTACTTTAAAACCTTTAAATATTCTTTACAACCAAGTAGCAAGAGCAATTCCACAAAGGTAATTTTCATAAATATCATTGTAAACTATATGAGAGACTGTTCTAATTACCTTTTGTATGCTGGCATGAGAGATATCACTATTTGTAAGCCTCTAAATGACCTGGCAAAGTAGCTTAAAACAACACATCTACTTTCAATTCAGATGTCCATTCACAGACCTGTAGGTCAAGCACCAATAAATGTGTTTGTTCTAAGTTATAATCAGCAGGCTCAATTCTGRAATGTGTGATACTCACATTGGCACAAACAGTGCCAATTCTCCACACTTACTAGGGCTGAACCAGTACAAAGAAGTCTAAATTAAAACAAAATCTATTTTTTCTTTAGAATCTCTCATTGCTCTGAGTGTTTTATAATGGATCAAAAATTACTCAGCTAACAAGTCAAAAATCTCAAAGAATTCCACATTTTACTGCAGCAATCATGGTGGCCATCACCATCAACTCAAGACCAAAAGGAACAGACAGACACAACACACCCTGACTATTCACAACAGATGGGGCTGGTGAGCATGGTAGGAAGGGCCTACCTTTCCCAAATACTAGATGAGAATGGAGACAGAGTAGGACGGAGGTATTGCATGTTACCAAGTGCCTTTGCAAGTAGAGACTCGGGGGTACAGGAATGAGAAGAAAAGCACCGTAGCATTTTTGAATGGTGTTAGGGAATAACTAAAAGTAATCTCCTCCTACCTTAAATTAATGGCATGTCTGAATAGCACACTGCCAGATGCCCTGGAAGTGCCCTTAGCTGATTCTGCCTGATCTCCTCCCAGAGACAGGGCAGACACACCTGTGTGTCTCACTGAAGCAGAGACAGCTCTGGCTGTCATTCATACCACATCTCATCTTTGGCATAAGGAGATGGGCAAGGTCAAAATATTGTAGTTGCAGCTTCATGCTAATCATCCAGTCTCCTGATGATTGCAGCACAATCTCTTTTTTGCATTCCATATTTGTAAGTGTCAGGGCAAGAAAATACTGCTGTTGAGTTACTTTGAAGGTGTTATTTTCAAACCCATCACTGTCAAGGTGTGCACACCCAGTTATCTTGTTTGTTGATGAAGAACCAGACTGACCCTGTGAATATGACCACTTAGAAATATGAGAAACAGCAAGCAGTTTGAGATGGGTCTCTCAAGAGCGATTTCTGAAACTCCACTTTTCACAAATTGACTGGGATGTGTAAAAATCTCTTCCCTACTCTCAGCACAGGGTGAGGGTAGAACACAGTGGCAGACAGGCCTAAATTCAGTAGCAACACACACTTCCCTTCCTGAACAATCCCTAGGAACAAATAAAGCTCTTTCCACATTCACAGTCCGGTTTACATGTGAGAGACTTCTGATCTCTGGCATAATGTTTTAATTCACAGTGACACTGAACTCAGTAGCAGAAAAACCTATGGACTCACTCAAGGCAGACAGCCTCTGGTTGTTTAGGAACTTGTTTGCTTGCATGATCGTATGTTTTAAGGACAGAAAGGGATAATTTAAGAGGTGATAATGATGGAAAAATTAAGAGGATGAGGCAGATTAAAATTGTGAAATGAAACAGAATCTAATTAAATGAAATACAAGTCAGACTTTCCACCTATTTTATTACCACACCTGTCCTAGAGCTGGTACCACTGAGCATCCTCTATGGAAGATGGGTTTAAAGGTCACACTATGACTAGGAACGAGTGGGAACCACACTGTGCAGTATTCATACACATACACAGTGAGAGAGAGAGGAAGGCGCTGAGGATGTTCTACTGAGAAATAATCTTTAGTGTAAAGGGACTGTCCAGAGGAGAAACTTGTTTCCATATTCTTCCCAGACCCCAGATTCCTCCAGTTTTGACAGGACCTCATACAGCAAATAAGATGGATCCCATGCCAAGATACTGTGATCCCACACCTATTCCTTTGAAAGAGGGCATTTCTGAGTTATAACAGACCCYCTGCTCCAATGTGCACATTTGCTGTAGAGGCTCCATCCTACCTATAAAAATGTCTTCTTGTAAGTGTTGCATATTTCCTAAATGTTATAGATAACATAGATATCATTTTGTAGATACTTCCTACAAAAATACATTACCAGAAAATGCTCTTCTATGGAGAAGCTAAAAAATCAGGGATGAGCACTAACCTGTGGGGATCATCAGGGTCACAGTTTGGTAGGAAGTTAGTGATGGCTTCTGCTACTTCTTCATTTAACAGCACATCCCAGAGTCCATCAGTAGCTAGGATCAGAACATCATCTGGCCCATGCTCATACTGCAGGAGGTCATAGACTCTCACCTAAAAGAAAAAAAACGAAGAGATGTTCATGAAGGAGGCAACTGTGAGACCTGTTTGTGAAACATTGCTGAGTTTTGCTGTGAGTTTAGTAGGGTCGGCCAGGGCACTGAAATACCTCCCATGGCACTGCTGAAGTCTGTCTCCAATTCAGTCGYCCAGAGCAACCCTTCCTGCTGCAGCTCAGCGTGGCGCAGGTGCTAACCCCAACTGGGATGGATGCAAGCATCCGAAGCCAGGCTCTAAAGCACTGTTCTGCCTGATGCCAGAAGCACGCGGCAGCCTGGCTTCAGTGCATGAGGCTCCTCCCCATCATTGGCAGGACTAGTCGTATGGAAGCTGAATAATTTATTTGATGAATTTTTGATATTTTCTAATAAAATATTCACAAACAATTGTTTTCACTATTTGTCCAGACCCATTTGAGTCTGCCAGATTGCATGTTTGGAAGTGCCTGTGTGACAGCCGGCATTGCATTTGCCTTTCTAAACCTGAGGCAGCTGCTGCACTCAAGAGTTTTGCCTGAGCAAGTCAGTGGTTCCATGAAACGCAGAAAAACTGCTCAGTGTATCTGTAAGGATTTCAGCAGCTACAGACTGATTCAAGATCTRCACAAAAGTGAAGCTTATTCCCACTATTAATACACCCACTGACTTCAACTTGTCTKCCTGCAGCCCCAGTCAGCCTGACCACTGCTGGCACCTCTTCACACCCTGCTTTTAAAACAACTTCCACCGTCCTCTTGCCAGGAGGCTGAGTGGTGGAGGTAACGGTGGGGGTTGCTGCAAGGCCATCAGCTGAGCCAGAATAGAAGCAAAGGCCATAGAAAGTGTTTTAAATCAAGCTTTTAGTTTGGTGTAAGTCCTCTTCCAGCACACGCTGTACTCCAGCTGACAAACTGCCTGCAATTCCCAGGTTGTGATGGGAAGCCATTATGAAGCACCCACAGAGCACTTTAATCACAACAGCAACAGCCACAATTTGAAAGAACTGTAACAGCCATAGCAAGGGAGACAGGAGGAAAGGATCACTTGTACTGAAATTCAGAAACACTGCACCTTGTCATGCACCCTGCTCCAGTCTGGGACTCCACTAACAGCAGTTCATCATGACAAGCACTTGGTATAACAAGAACATATGAGCTGTTTTATTCTCCCTCATGGTGCACTCTCCTCTTAGGAGCCATGGAGCAATGCACATAAAATGGCTGGACCTTTTAATGTAATTATGCTTTTATGGGACTTCAACCTGTATCAGAGGAAAAAAAAAAAAAAAAATACCTAGACCAGACTGCTAATCCTTACCAGTTTGCCTTTCACTCAAAAGCACAAGAGGGTCATTTGTAAAATGTAACCTTCACTTCATTATCTACAGTAGCAGCTGAATAAAGACTTTGGAGAGGATTAAATTCAAGGCAAGATACTTCATTAGAGCATATCTGCTTATCCAGACTTGAGTGGGAATATAGAAAAGATCTGTATATGCAGCACAACTCTCATCTCAAGCTCACTGCACAGAAATCAGTAGCTGTCATTGTCCCCATCTCCCAGAATTTAGTCCAGCCTTAACAGCCCACAGTTGCAACTCAGAAACCTCTGGGGTGTTAGTTGGCCAACACAACCATCAATATGCAGCACATATTCTGGTCTTACCTCTTGGGGACCGGCAAATACTTGAGAAAGCATCAGGGTTAATGCTCATGGATGCACTCAGCACCAAGCTCCTGGTAAGGTTAACCAAGCTTCAAACATCTGTGCTGGGAAAAGCACATCCCAACCCAGGCAAAGGACACATTACCAGAGAGGAGCCTTTTCTGCAGCTTAGGTGGGGGAGAAGGCAGGAAAGCAAAACCATGCATCACTGATTAGAATCCTCCTGAAATGAAAATTTTGTCTCACTGAGGAGTGCCACTGGGACAGATGAGAAATTTTTTAAGCCACCTACACCAGTCCATGGGTCAAAATGCAGGAGTAACAAACACCAAGAAATGATCACTTTACCAAGAATATGTTTTGTTTTAGGGGAAAAGGAAAAAAATGCAATTACTGATTTATTGTGTAATCTGGGAAGAAGGCTACTTCCTAAAAGTACAAGCTTTGTGAATCAGGCACCTCCAGCAGAAAGGTGTATGTTGAGAAGAAACTAGATGTCACAAAAGGTGCAGAGGATAGTGAGGTGTTAGGCCAGTCCCTAGGCTAACAAAGCAAGAGTGCCAAAGTACAGGAGACAACCTTAGGAGAATTTGAGGTAAGATTGTTGCACACAAGACCAGTTGGACATGCAACAACACATTCACTGAAATACAGCTTTGTCTACCTTCTAGTTACTTTAAGTCCTTTCTTTGTGTCTTTCCTTGGATTTCTTAAATACAGCTGTAGGTCCACCTAATACATTGCTGACAAAAATGAGTTAAGAGTTGTCCAGTCTATTGCAGGGTCAGATTATGTTCACAGACTGCTTTGTTCAGGTGCAGAAAGTAACCAGCTCCTAACCCTTCATTTTTCTGCCAGTAGCGTTGTTGTAGTTCTTACTTGGGTCAATGAGGGTCCCTTGCAGTAGTGCCCTGTGCCTTCAGCTGGACAGGGATGAGTGTGACAGCAGAGCTCCTGGAGGCACACGGCTTGGGCAGCACGTGGAAGGGAAGCTCAGCCCAGCAGRGCTCACTGAACACGCACTCCACTGCAGCACCCACAGGACACTCCACACTGTACAGAAAAGGTGACAGCACGATATGCTACASTTTTGAAATATGAGGAGAAATCCAGGATATTACCTAAGTGCCTGTAATAGCAATGAATGCCACAGCCCTGTAAATCTTGTCTGACCAAAAGCAGCTCATTGTCTGCAATGAAAATTACTATTTTATTTTTTTAATTCCAYAGTAAACCTTCCCAATGACTGCCTCCTTCCTGTAGGTGTATTTSAGGAAAGTAAACAGTGAGGTTTAAGGAATGTTCTGTCTGTGACATAAGTTTGTGCAAAGCTGCTCCYACTGCAAAGCAGCACTGCAGAGCCCTGCTCCTGCAGATCAGCTGGCCAGACAATGACTGGCAGTGCAGAGGTTTCCCTAATTAGTGCAGCACCCTTCACAAATTTCCTAACAATGCCATCCTGAATCTTCAGTCTTTCCCTTGTGAATCACTGCTTCTGCAGCCAGACATCAATCCTGAGAGTGCCCCACAGAACTTGTGTTCTCAGCCTCCCATGTTGTCCTGAGAGCCTTTTCAGCAACTCCCTCCAGCCTACCAGCCCCTTTGGTACTGCCCTGGTAAAGTTTCTTGCTCTTTAAATTAATCTCTCTGGAGTATCAGGGCAGCCCTGAGAGGAGACCCATTCAGTCATTATACTTCTCACACCTGCTGATCTCTTATGGGTGTAAAGCAGCTGACCTGTAAACTAGATGTTAGTAAACTTGATATTAGCAACCAGAAAATGTAAAAACTGTAAGGAACAAGCAGCAGAACCTCAGCAGCACAGCCAGCCATGAAGCCATGGCAATAAGCACTGGGTTGCCCTTATAGCCTATAGATAGGATAATACTATTTAACCTGACTAGTAGTTACTGATCTGCTGACAGTAACGAGTGGCTACACACCACTAGAACCCATAGTCAAACCCATCTTTCTGAATGTGCAGTATGCAGTTTGTCAAATAACATCTTAATTCAATCCAGGTATTTGTTTCTCATATTACATATTACCTACATGCAGCCAAAAGCATTGAGAAAACCACTCTGGGCAAGCAATGAACATACAGGTAAGCTGTTTGTTATTTACATTTCAAACGGATCTACCCAGTGGACAAACCCTGCCTTAGGCTGCTGCAAAGGAGCACGGCAGCCCTGCAAAGGCTGTGCCTTGTTTGCCAGGTTTGTTGTTAAGAGGCAGCCAGTGCGAGTCCCTGAGGCTGGAAAACAGCTCACAACAGTGACATGTGAGCCTGCAGCCACCTGAGGTGCTCCTCAACAGCCGGCCTCGGGGAATTCCAGCTAAACAACAGCCTGCATTCACTTGCCTGCACTATTGATCAACCCAGCTATTTCAATAAATTAAACCCTTTCTTAACTGTATCATCCCTTTTATGTACAGTGTTATCCAGTGCAGCTTTGCTGGCAAATGATGAGATCTTTCAATATCACCCTCCAAGTAATTTATATGTAAATAATAAAAAGTGGGTCCCAACACTGCTTCCTGCAGAATTCACCAATTACTCTCCTTTTAGCTTTTTACTGCCACCCTTTGATTCCTGCCTGTTAGCCGATTTCTAGTAGACTCTGCCAACTTTGCACTTAGTCTTGCAGCTTCATATCTTTTATATTAATAACTTGTGATGCAGAACAGTCTCTCAAATGTTTTCTGGGAAATCAAAGTTTTCATGCAAGAGCATCAACTGCATTTTATTATTATTATTATTATTACTATTATTATTATTATTATTATTATTATTATTATTATTATTATTATATTTTTAATTCTCTTGTAGACAAAACCTCAAGGACCTAAAGCCACTAAAGTGTGACGTTTGCTCCCTGAAGCCACCTTGACTCCCTCTGATCATACTATACTTCTCCATGTATTTGCCTTACTTGTTCCTTTTGATGATGTAATTCCTGAGGATTTCTCCCGAAGGCAGATGTGAATCTAAAATGGCCTTCTTAGACATATTTGTGGAGTTATCAGAAAGATTTTACTAACAAAACGGAACAAGAAAAATTCTTCTTCATTACCTTCTTATCATTCGCTGTGATGGCTGGCTTAGGGTTCATTGTTGGCAAGGGTCAAATGCTGCCATCAGAGCCACATCTTTCCCCACCAAATAGCTGAGCTGCCATTCAGAAAATTTCAGGATGAAATTCTGATTTTCATTTGCAATAAGGTGGCTCTTATTAAGCTTTGAAAAACAGAATTTCCTGCTGAAAGCTTTCAAATTAACTGTTCCATTATGAAAAATAAATATTTAATTCCATGCCAGGAAGCCGCAACAATGGCTTGCCTGCTTTGTGCTACTCCAGTTCATTATAAGAGGTTCAAATCTCTAGAGCTCACCAACCTGCAGAAGTCCTCCAAATCTGGTCTCACAACAGCTGAGCCACTGAATACTGATTACATTTGTCGGTCTTGGCTGCATGACTTCTCCCATAGCCTGGCACTCTATCAAAGTATTATTTCATACCACCTTCAAACTACTATTATATTCCTATTTCTGGATGTAGTCTCAGGGATGTTTACCTTTCCTTGAGCTAAATTTTGGTGGGTATGGCATACCCACTGTCTGTCATGCTGGAAGTAAAATGTTCTAAAAACTCATCACACTGCTTCTTAGTAGAGAAAGGACATTATAATTATGGCACATAAACAGAGGACTTGGATGCTCCTTCTGTCATGAATCACTGTGCGCCTTAATTTCCTGTGCCTCCCCTTTTCCAGGTCTGSAAACCACACACTGTGCCTCCCACCTCTATGCAAACATTTCAAAATCCAATGGTGCATAGGGGCCAAATATGACTGTTGTTGGATGCCACTGCCATTGCTTCCAAGTGCCAAGCTTCCCAGATGGCAGCATAAAGATGTTTCTGAATGCCGGTTTCTGTGCAAGGTGTGTTGTCCATGTTTGGACAGAACAAGTCATGGAAAAATATGAGGAGTTAAAGCACTGGGGCTCTCTCTGGGAAGAGAAGGAAGGCATGATTAAGGGAGRAGGTGCAATGGAAAGCAAGTTGGAGCATATGCTACTTCCTAATAACACTCAGGGTTTTTTTTTATCAGTATCTCTAAATTAAGGTGGCTGGTTCTCTGTCTTTCCTCCTCCTGCCCTTGTACATTTCTGCTGAATTTAGCTGTGAAGAGGATGTGGAAACAAAGCCAATTTTGCTTCCCTTTTGCAAAGCAGTTAAGAGATCCTGAAACGTGGCTAGCATATGAACTGGATGTCATATTCCAGGATTTGAACATGTACGGGCACATTCCACACAAATCAGAAAAGCCCATGAGAAGCTTTGGTTTATACACACACACAAATACTGCAGCAGCAATTGGCAGAGATGATACTGCTGGGATGCTGTGCTGCAGCCATTACATACCCCAGAAACACTGGGTCTCAGCATGCCAGAAAGAAAAATAAATAGGTAGAATTGCATCAGTTTTCTGGCATTAAACAAATCCATCACAGTGATGAGGGCAAAGCTCCTGCCTGCCTGGCTGAGGAGAACAGGAGTGGGTCTCAAGTGAGGGACACCACACATTCGCGGGGGAGAGGGAAAGTACACAAGAAAGGAAACAAGAAGAAGGAGCTGTCTATAGATCTCCCTCCTTTCCTCAGGGCTGAAATCTCTCAGCACTTTAAAAAAATTTATTTTTATAATTTGAATTTTAATATATAATTTATATACAATAAATATAAATATATATAATTTTTATATCTCCGTTTATAGGCACAGAGGCAAGAGGTTACCACAATGCCACTCTGTGAACTAAGACAGATTGCCTTTAGTTGTGGGGTGGATTGTGGTGGTGCATCTTTCCTCCATGCCCCTCCTCGGGCCACACTACGATCTCAGAAATGCTGTCAGACCCTGGCCTTGACGAACAGCCCCTGAGATGAGCTCCTCTCGAGCTATCAGAAACACTGCCTGCTCCCAGGCACTTGTGCTGTCTAACAAGCCTTGGAAACATGTTTTTCTTACAAGAATAATAACCCAAATGGAAAAACATTGCTACAAAGTTATCAAACTTTCAGGGAAAGTTACCAACCCAAATTGCAGCCAGACCAGAAAACTACTATGACTAAAGCCAACTTTCTTGTAGCCCTATAAACAGTGGTTCCCAGTGAGGCCCTTTGAGCTCTCCTGGACCACAGCAGGCTGAGATGGCAACCTCCCTGTGAGCGGGGGGCGGGGCACAGARCAGTGAACTCTCAGGTTTGCTGTCCTCAGAGGACTATCACTGAGCACTGATGGCAGATCCTGCTTTGACATTCCTGCTCCTCGAGGCTCAACCCTTCACCCCGGGAGAAGATGCATCTAACATGAACACTTCACTGAACTTGAGGGGAATTATTCACAGCACATACCTAGTACATACTCCATTAGGTCTGTGTACATACGAGTGTGAATATGCTACAGCAAAAGTTCTAGGAATATTGCTGTCTTAGATTCTTAAGTATTTGTCAATAAGTTAAGCCTATAAGACAGCTCCTGTTGTAGTAAATCCTATAGAATCTTTCATTAAATTGTTTAAATTCAGCTATTGATTAAGTGTTAAAACCTTTAGGCCTAAACTGTTGGTCAAGCCCGGGGATAAGTCTGGCAAGGGGGTCTATGCTGAACCTTGTGACTCAATGGGAAGTTCTCCCTTATTCCTTTTTATGCTTACGCTTTCCCCTTTCCTTATCCATAACCCTTTTTATCCCCAGCACCCACACAGATCATTTTTGGTTGACTTTAGTTTTAGACTGACTGATTTTAGATTTCAGTCCATTTTTTCTCTGTGTGCTTTAACCATCTACTAAGTTGTAGAGTGAATGTTGCCAGCAAACTTTGTCATGCTTTTAAACCTGCTTTTACTGATACCTTTGCTGGTGATTCTTTGAGCAATCTGAAACACTCATTTGTGACAAATTTGCTTTCGAGATGTTTTAAGCAAGGTTAATTTAATGGTTTGGTTCCTTTCTAGCAGTGTGATATTGTGTGTTTTCATTCTCTCATACTGCTATAGCAAGTGATAAATTCAAGGTCAAATACTGGGTATGGTTAAAACTTTGGCAACCCAGTTGATAATGGACAGTTTTCAACATTTGGGCCATGGAACCAAAGCTGCCTCTTTCTGTGCTGTCATCAGATGGTTTGCCCTTGCTTAATATTTTATGAAAAGTATGTGACATCTGTTCCTTGACATAGGAACAGGAATGCTACATAGGGAGGAAAATCAGCAAGGCTTGCATGTTCCTTGTTAGCAAATACATTCAAATCCCTTTGGAAGGCTTGATATCCTTCACTGCAAGGTCTCCAGTGGTCAAAAACTGTATGGAATTGCTTGTAATGAGGCAATTCAAAATGAAGGAGGCATTTAAAAGTACCCCTAACCCAAATACCACATAATCTCCTCATTACACCACTGTTTGGGAATGCATACTGTCATTATTTGGTGTTTACACAAAACTATCACAAAGAATTAAGAACTGAAGGTTAAGGGGCAGACAGATGGAATCATAAAGTATCATTCCTATGGGTCTTGGCATTTTTCTGCTTAAGAGTTGTTCTGGTATCTTCTGTGTAATGCAGGACACTACACTGCCATGGAAGACATCCCTTCTACAGTACATGGATTTACATCTTGATGGGAGCTGGAGCTCTTGAAGGTGGGAGGAGAGACAGGCATCTGTCACACTGAATGGCAAGGCTATGGGATAACCACAGAACAGGGAGTGAGAAGGAATCCGTGCTCTGCAGGGATGTGGAGCAATCAGAGCTAGGGCACACAGCTGGGGAACTCAGAAAATTCCTACTATGTGGATGTTACTACCCACAGCATGTTACCTCARCTGGACCACAATCAGAATGGATGATTTGAGAAGAACAAATAAACACACTGAGTAAATTTATTTTCCTCTCACAAATCAGATAGTTGAATCTTGACTGTTTTACCTCAGGAGATGAGGACAGGAAAGGTTTGATGTATATATTTGAGTCGTGCACTTTCAGGTCATGGTCTCCCAGTCCTCGGGTCACTCCAATTGTTGCCATAACCCGAGCCTGGAAAAAAAGAAAAGCAATAGGATCAAATCTTGTTACATGGACTGTGTCAATAGGGAATAACATTCCTATTCTGTAACTGCTACAGTTAGGGATAAACTCTGTTTTCTCTCCCAGACACTCTAGATTTAACACAGCTAATCAACATCAAAGCTTTTCACACTCCTGTCATCTGCATTTTTCTCCTTATTCCAAGCTTTATTTTCATCCACATCCCACTCTGTCACCATCTCTAAGGTACTGGGACTACAGAAATCTAACCCAGTCACTTCACTGTCCACACCAGTCTATGAGAGCATTTCTTCAGCAAATTATCCCTTCACCAGGGGAAAGTGCCAAAGGCCACCTTAAATTGCACACGGGACAGCAGCACTGACCACAGTGCTCTCGTCCAGGGATCAATGGCAGGTCTGCAATTTGCTCCGGTCTATCACTTCCTTTCCCCAGCACCTTTCTGTGCAACATCAGTGGTCTCCCAAGAAGTGCTGGGCTCACCTTCATTAAAGCTTCTTCAAAGATTGACCAGGCATTCAGCCTGCCAGGGAACTCTCTTTGTGCTCTGCMGACCACTCTCCCCAAACTCAAGCTTAGCCACAGCAGCTTCTGAGGAAGCGAGCTCAGCATCAATAACAGTGAGCAACCGACTCAGAATAATTTTGCCTTGATAACTCCTTGCTCCACAGGGCCATAAGAAAGCTTTAATTAAAAAGATGCACATGAAACATTTTGCAAATAATTACAAACCTAACTGAATTCAGAGATAAGCTGCAGGTCTGAACCTTCAAAACATGCACTAATTTTGAAGAGTGTCTATTTTTGCACTGAGATAAGAACCTAATGCAGCAGGGGAGCACTATTTAGAAACACAGCTAACATACCAATATCAGCAAACTGACACTGCTGTGTCCTTATATTGATCCTATTGCTGCATCCAGCTAAGCTCGCTGGGACCAGCACTAATGATCTCACTGTTCTTAATCACAGAGCTGAAAACACAGTATACCAAACAAAATAGTGTTTCTCCCTTTCAAATATCAGCCTTCATACATCATAAAAATTCAACGTACACTAGCTGAAGATAAGGTTAAGGAGTGCTATACTTTACAAATCCTCCCCTGATCTCTCCCCTTCCTAAATTAGACTTTTGCATCTCAGAGCACTGTACAATATCTTCCCACTTTGTTCTAGCTATATTTTACAATCAAACTGAACATTTAAAGTCAATTACTTAAGACAGTCTCATTGTAGCCTATTTACAGTGGAAGAAAAACAAAAGCAAACTGAACAACAAATGACTATGCTTGCTGTAAAAAGCTTTTTAGTTCGTTGAGCTCTCCCCACCACCCCCCAGACATGAGATTGATTTATGACAGAACTAAGATATTCTTTCAAACTGTCAAAACAATAAAATAAAGAGATACTGAGTGGAAAACATTGGACTGCCACAGGCTAAACAGAATGGTAAACAGCACAGAATTCCTCCTTCTTTTGGTCTGAGGAAAGCAAACATGCCCACCTTCTTGCCTTCTCCATATATAAGGGGAAACTTCAAGTCATCTTCCTCAATGGTTTTGTATGCCCTGTGGGGGGAGGACAAACAACATTTATAAAGCTTGTACTCAATTAGTGACCCCGTGCCCTGAAAAAAGCAGCTGTGATTTCAAAAAAGGGGGGACAAATTATTTTTCCTAGGGAATGTTCTTTGAATCAAGATGTAAATTTATTTTCCTGCAGGAAAATTTTCTGTAAATAATTATCTGTTTCACCAAACAGAAAAGTGAAGATAGGGAAATACCTAACATGCCAGGCTTCTCCTATTGATTGCAAAGAATGAGGTGAACTGGAATAACATCCTAATCAGGTAAGATATTGTTGGATATGGTACCATATAATACAGTGTCATAAAAATCCCCAAATCCAACCAAATAAAAAAACCCAAACAAAACAGCCCCAAACCATCAAGAAACTAAGCAATGCCAAGATTCACACTGTTAATGTGAAATGTGAGCAATGACAGTATGTGTACACATGGTGTGAAACAGCTTTCTGACCCTGTTCTCACCCTTCAGGACCCCAGAAACCAAGACAAGCTTCACATGCTGAAGTCTTAGGATATTTAGTGCTCATTTGACCTTGACTGCAACAGTCAAGGTTGTCAGAGATTTCACATTTCACAGCAGTTTTCCCATGGACAAGAGAAGTAAATGCTCATGCTCTGATTCTGTTTACCACATACCTATGTACTCTACCTTTAACAYATCCAGCTGTTGACACTGATGAGGTGAGAAGGTTAGCAATTTTACCCGTGAGAAATGAAAAAAAAACCAACAAAAGATGACAGTCATTCTCATAAGGTGTAGAGTCCTGTGGTTTGTATACATCATGGTTGAGCTCATGCTTGAGGTGCTGGGGTACCTTTTTGGCTAAGGTACATTGCCCCAGAGGGGCACATTTCCCTTCACACCACGAAATTGTCCCTCCTCAGCTTTTCCCTGAATGTTGTGCTTCCCTCCTGGCCCATCCAAACCCAAAGCCCTCGGGTGATACCAAAATCACAGCAAGTGCAYGAATGGGAGAGGAAGGGAAGGTGCTGGACAGGTCCCCTGCCAGCTACCGCCAACCCTTGCCTGTGCAACTCTCCAGCTCTCTGGAATAGCTGCCTGAGCTCCCAGGAGTCACATGGATCAGGTTTAAGCAATGTTAAGGCTGTGACATAAACTGGCAGGAAATTAAAAATTAAGGGTGAAATCCTATATTGTAATCAAACTGCCCCCTGCTTTGCCAAAATATGGCACAGACCTGGGATCAATAAATGCTGCATGACCCAGGCAAGCCTCAGACTTCCTGCGAGCTGCACAGACATTTAAGCCCCACCTTTGCATTTCCCAGTAATCAGAGGAAGCGATCATATTAGGGTTTTAGGGGTGAGGGAAGGACCATGAAAAAAGAGGAAAGCAACCAAAATACATAGAAGAAGCAGTAGTGGAGGATTCCCCTCCCATACTACAAAACATTATTATGTATGAAATCCCAAAAGGAAATTAAGTGAGGTTTGCAAAATACAGTGGGTCCTTCATGTAGTCAGGAATATCTTAGAACCATAATATTTGGCCATCTCTCTAAGAGACAATACAGTGAAGGCATTCAAATGGCATTCTTTACTGGGGAGGGAAAAAAAAATTAGCTCTCAAACCAAACAAAAAGGCACAAATTACTATAAGTAGCCAACACGATAATACTTCCCTGATGTTTAAATCCTGGATTAGCATTTAGTTGGAAAGGAGAAGTCAGTCATGGACTTTGCTCTTGCTCTTTTCTTTATTTCTAACCGGGAATAGTTAACATCTCTGCCTCACTCACTAATTTGGATATCCTGGTTTGAATGTAGACCAAAAATTTTACCATCTCTGATTGCTCATGAACATGTTTCAAAGCTTCCAACTGGACCTACAGTGCTGGAAGCCCTGGGAAAACATCTTTGAGGTGTCTGAACTATGCCTTGCTTAGGGCCAGYTGTGCTCTGACACCGAGAAAATGGGTATCAGCTGAGTCCATTGTGGGCATTGGTCAAATGACTAATCAAGCCACAAGCCTGAGAAGACAACCATTCCTACTGGATGTTCAAATTGTTGTACATAGTTGTTAAAATAGCAAACAAAACTAAGATGATGCAGCTTAACTACTTGCAGCCCCCTTTTTAAAGGAAAAAAAAACAAACCTACTCTTTATTCACAGCCTATACTACCTGTAAGGTAACTACAAATATTTAAGACCAAAGCACTCAATTTCCACTGCCCTGTAAGTTGACAAAAGCAGGGACCAAGTTTTTGTCCCTCTCTCCTCTCCTCTTCCTCCTTATATTCTCCTGCATAACACCTCATACTGGCTGTACTTTAAGAAGATGGGAAAAGACAATCATTTAGGCTGGAGTCCTTCAAAAGAATTGTCTCCATTGCTGAGTCCAGCTTCTTTTATGGAACCATTACAAGAACCATTGCCCCTTGGGCCTTCAACTGTGATACCAAGGTGTAAGGACATTGGGGGAGGCCATGTTSCAAGGGCTGCAGCTAACTTGTTCCATGAGCAGATTAGGGAGAGCAGCTGGCTAGCCTGTGATCTCCTAAAGCTATTCAACTAAGTGAGGGAGGCCCAGAGAGCGACACTGATTTGTTTTGTGGTTTCTCACAGCCTGTCACCTCTTGAGCTCAGAACTTGGGCATCAAACTCATCTCAAATGTGCTTCTTCTGTTGCTATTACCTGAGAAGTTATCAGAACTTAAAAAACAATGCTCAGAACTGCCACCACAGCAGCAGAGGTAGCACAGACACACTGAAAAGCAACCTGAGACACTCTAGAAAAGTACCTATGTCCTGCATTACTAGTGAAAGAGAATTCAYAATATGTGAGTGTGTGGTTTGCTGCAAGAGAAGGATGAAGGACAGCTTTTCAGCTAACAACTCAGCAATTGCACTGGGGAGACAGAAGGAAGATATGAAGTTCATTTTAACTTATGCCCTGTGAAACCTTCTGTATTTTGTATGTGGGTTTATTTCACRTAAGCTACAACTTTCTGGTCTATTTCTCTTGATTTTACGTAATAAAGTTGCATTTATACTTTCACATGCTGTATATAAAGATATAATACGACAGTAAGTATATCAAATACAGACACACAGAGAACCTGAGAGGGTAGTTTGGCTCTTTTAGGGCCAGCTTGGCTTTATTCAGCCCTCTGCATAATTTAGCCCAGCTCACTGCTTTAACAACACAGTATTGCAACCCGCCCCTCTCCCCGTCTTCCTTGTCCACATCCCAGGAGGTTTTGGTGGCCACTAGGGCATGACAAGAAAGGTTATAAAGACAAGGCAATGCTATTGCTTCCTGCTCTGAATGAGCCTAAAGCTTGTTAAGTGCTTCTGCCATGTAAGCCTCTATTTTTCCAAATGGAAAAGCTGGGGGAGCGGGGGCGGGGGGAGCAGAAAAGGCAAGCTCATGCCCAGCTAGATCTAGCTGCATTCTTTTTTCAGTTAACTTAGTTTCTTCTTTTCATTTCAAAAGCATTATGAAATGCTACTGCTGTCCAAAAATACTGAACTAGGCCTTGACATATGTACCACCCACAAAGTTACATTTGGACTCAGGATCAACATTTTGGAAAACTGGGCCAAATCGCACCAGGAGCCAAAAGAGATGTCAGAACAAAAAACTAGGACTGACATGATGTTACTCATATGCTAACTGGAATCTGCTCTAAACGCATGGTGAAAAAGTAACCAGGAGCTACTAAATGCACAACACAATCTACAGAAGTAGTTTCTTAGAGTGCTGAGGTCATTAGCAGTGCTTTAGTACTCTTTAAATAAAAGATTTTCAAAGTTACTGCATATTGCTGGGTCAGAACTCAAAAAACCAGTCAGCTCCCACATGCAAATTTCAGAGCCAAAATCATAGATAATGTCTTACATGTGTTCTGAACTTTCCTGCCATATAATTTGTTCTTAAAATTTGCCTTCTGAAAGCACATACAAATTCACATAAGAGTAGAAGTTGTTGATGACCAAAACCAAAATCCATATTCCATTTTCTTTCATGGCAAACTGTGTAAGGTTACTGGTCATTAAAAGTATTGCACTGGCATCTCTAGGCACAACAGATGGTGCTGAAAACACAGTCTACCCTGACCTGGAATGTTCATTCTGTGCACGACAGGGGAATCCAGACTCTGTCTCTGCTTTTCCATGGCACTTGGCTTTAGAAAGTTTGTCTGTGTTTCACATCTCTTCTAGTGACACCTGACAGTAAACTGAGAATTAAACCTAAGGAAGAGCAAAGAAAAACATCATCAAAGGGTTTTTGCTTGAAGCATAGAATAAACCTACTTGTGGCAAGCAACCAAGAGAAAGTATTACTGCTTCACAGAAGTCCTAGTTCATACAGAGTATAAGGCTAAATGCATCTCTGAGAGAGGTTTGTAGATTCCATGTATTTATAGCACTGTTTTGCTACCACTCTAAAAAGAACCCCAAACCTAAAGCCATCCCCATACACCCTCCACCTGTCCCTACTCTTCTCCTCACCCAAAATAACACAACTTATAATAAAACTACTCCAGCTATCCAAACAATCTCCTTCTCAAGCTCAATTTTCTTTGGTCATACCAACAAAAAAAATCAAGTTTTAATCTTTAAGCAACACRAAACTTGATAGAAACTCTTTTTTTTTTCACCCTCGCACATGAGTAATCAGTGGAATGGAGCTCACCCTTCAGGTACCAGAGCTTTCTCACCAGTCCAAAAAGAACTGTGCATCTGTACCATCAACTGAACTACAGGCATCTAACCAGAGTAAGTGCATACTTACTAGCAAGAAGAAAAGATGTGTAGTGCAGATTACGCATAGAGCCATTGAAAATTATACTATTTATGTCTCACCTCAGCCACAACCTTAAAAAATGTCCTTACACTTGTGCTTCTGCAGAGTCAGGATCTCTAAATTCAGACAGCACTGTCTGATACTAAGTACCCTCTAGACAGGTTATCTCTAATGTTCAGTGCCGCTGTATCTTTCCCCTATTGCTCA